CGTAATTACCTGAATAAAGCTAAGTGCCGGGGACCTAAGTGGTCACCTTAATATATAAAAAAAAAAAAAAAAAAAAATAATAAAACTATATTACTTTTCTGCTTGTGATGATGGCTCATCCAGGCAAGGTTCGTCTTGAGATTCATCAGGATAAAATTTATTTTGATTTGATTTATCAGAATATGATTTATCAGGATATGATTCATTTTGATTTGATTCATCAGGGTATGATTTAGTTTGGTTTGATTCTTTAAGATGCAATTCATTTTGATTTGAATTATCTGAAAACATTTCATCTTGATACGATTCATATAGAGATAATTCATCATCAAAGTATGGGAATTGCGATTCTTGTTCTTGTGACATTATTAATATTGAGGTTTTTTTTTTTTTTTTTTTTTTGGTTTGTTTTGCTTTTTAAGCTTTTTTCTAACACTAATAGATGTTTTTGTATAAAAGAAAAAAAAAACGCAATACAATCAAAAAAATTCATTTGATTTTAATTAAAAAAAAAATCGCTCTAGTTCAAAATAGAATTTTTCAACATTAAAAAAAATGGCCAAGCAAGAATATGCCAGGGGCAAACCAGTTAGGCTTTGAAATGCAGCCATTAATTCTAATCATCATATGAGAAAGCATATGATGTTATCGGGCTTTCAATTATATTTTGTGTATAGTTAGCTGTCTATGGATTATGATATATTTTCCATAGATGGCTAACTGTACACAAATAATTGAAAAGTCCGATGACAGGTTTTCTCTCATATTTAATAATTACTTAAATATTTAATAACTACTTAATTTGGAACTTGATCTAATTACATACTAAACACGATACAAGATTAGATTCTACAATTTATCAGAAACATTGTTATTGTATATTGCGCATTTATTACAAAATCATTTCAATGAAGTTTGATATCTGGCGTCATTAGCTCGATGCGTTCGAATAGTAATATTTCGAAAAAAAGAACTTCAAAAAAAAAAAAGATCACAAGCGTTTGTGTAATAATAACGGATCCGAATATTATTCGATCGAATCTCTGTTTAGATTCGGATTCGCAGGATCTGCAAATCATGGGATTCAAGATAGATTTGCGGATCGAATCTGGATCGAATCCGAATCTCGAATCCATTTTGCGGAACACTACGCAGACCTATCAATTTTGATAATTTTGCGATTCTGATCACTGAATCACAAGATATTACGTATGCGTCATAATTGGTACTGCACCATAATACCCATACTTACCTTATGTTATGTTAAACAAAGAATCAATTTGGAGTGGCCTTATTATTGATTCAGACCTGGTAATATCAGTAACGACTCAGCTCGGCTTAATTGCAAGCCAAAGAATCTGCATAGCTAGTCTGCATTTAGTCATGTTGGACCAGCCGTTTGCATCACTCTGATCAAACTATGGCTGTTCATAAAAAAATCTTTGATGTCGGCCGATTTAAGCAACTGTCCAAAATTTATTAAAATAGCTACAAATAATGAGGCCTTATAGGTAGGGTTCGAGGCACAGGGGCATGGGCATGCCTTTTGGGCATGCCTTGGGGGCATGCCTATGGGCATGCCACTTGGC